CATCAAGTGCGAAGCTACCATAGAAAGAAATTACAGCGACGGCCTGAATCGGACTTCTCACGACAGCGCTTTGCCTGGTTAATGTAAATGTCAACGTAAGAGCGGCATTTGTCTCGGTGACAGCTAATCGGAGAAGTGCCAAACACATGTTTGTACTCTAGAATATATCATGCCAAAAACGTTCCGAAAATAAAACAACGCTAATGATTGGCGCATACAAACGAAACATAGCGCTGTCATTCCATGTTAGGAGTGACACGCGACTAACACGAGGCAGAACTTTGGTGGGAATTTTGGGCGGTAAACAGACAAGTACCGCGAGAACGCAATGGGAAACAATGTAGCGAACGTTTGGATATAGCGTCACGGTTGCTACAGAAACCGATCTAGTCTCTCAGGACTCAACTCGTGGTTATCAAAACAATGTCTGAAATTACAAACTAGCTTGGAGAACATCATACAGAAAGTAAAATTTGTTCATGTTAGATAACTGCGCGCGACAGATACAGTCAGTCAATCAATGAATCAGACAATGGGTATATGGGTGGCAGATACACTCAGTCAGTCAGTCAGTCAGTCAATCAATAAATCAGACAATGGGTATATGGGTGGAAGATACACTCAGTCAGTCAATCAATGAATCAGACAATGGGTATACGGGTGGCATACACTCGGTCAGTCAGTCAGTCAGTCGGTCAGTCAGTCAGTCAATCAATAAATCAGACAATGGGTATATGGGTGGCAGATACACTCAGTCAATAAATAAATAAGACAATTGGTATATGGGTGGAAGATACACTCAGTCAGTCAATCAATAAATCAGACAATGGGTATATGGGTGGCAGATACAGTCAGTCAGTCAGTCAGTCAGTCAATCAATAAATCAGACAATGGGTATATGGGTGGCAGATACACTCAGTCAATAAATAAATAAGACAATTGGTATATGGGTGGCAGATACACTCAGTCAGTCAATCAATAAATCAGACAATGGGTATATGGGTGGAAGATACACTCACTCAGTCAGTCAATCAATATATCAGACAATGGGTATATGGGTGGAAGAGGCTTGAATCAATCAGAAAGTATACAGATATATAACTCAAATACGATATATTTTGTTGTTGTAGACATACTGCGCAGATCGTCAAGTTCCCGATTCAGCAGCCTCTGGTACCGCGTATCTATGCGGGGTGAAAACAAAATATAATACCATAGGTATGGACGATAGAGTTGAGTTTGGTAACTGCACGCAAGATAATCCATACGAATATGCAGTGGATTCCATACTCAAAATAGCAGAGGATGCAGGTAATAATAATATCATTAGCATATCCAGGCAGTAAACAAATAAAACATAAAAAATAATCATAACAAATCATAGCAATGCATATTTATGTAGTGCATACGTCAACATGCTATCAGTTCCAATATGTTTATATTTTGATAGAAAGTATAATATTAAGACCACTGAGCGTTTCTTACAGGTAAAGCTACAGGTATTGTGACTACAACCAGGATAACTCACGCCACGCCGGCTTGCACGTATGCTCATGCTGCTAGTCGGTACTGGGAAGGTGACGATAACATGCCACAGGAAGAAAAAGACAAAGGTTGTAAAGACATCGCTTGGCAATTGGTTAACGAACTGCCTGGTAGAAACATGCGGGTAAGAATTACACACGTAATTGTAAGCCAATTTCACTTAGGTGGTGATACACTTCACGTAGTCACACCTCAACTTCTTTTAATTACCATCCCACTCTATATAGTTGTCGCCCAATTCAAAATAGTTATCACCCCAATTCATGAGGTTTTCACCCAACTCGTGTAGTTGTCAACCGCAATTCACAGTTGTCACCCAACTTCACATATAAATGTCATCCGACTTCTCGTAGTTGTCACCCGCAATTCACACAGTTGTCATTCGAATTCTCTTTCAAACAGACTATAGATATAATATCAATTATTTAATTATAATTTGCGACAAGAAATATTGTTTGTTGCTGTAGGTTGTGTTGGGCGGTGGTCGCCAAGATTTCCTACCTAACTTCACCCCTGACCCCGAAGACGAAGGCAAATATGGTCAACGGCTGGACGGGGAAAATCTGATCGAAACGTGGTTGGCATCAAAACCTGTCTATTCTGAATCATTCTTCGTCTGGAACAAAACTGCCTTTGATGACGTCAATCCAGAAAGCGCAGATTATCTTCTAGGTAAGCTATTTTATCCTGTTGGTAAATCAAACTAGAGATTCAGATTCCTAGTCTAGATAACGTATTGTATTGAGTTCTGCTGTATTACTGTGTGTATTTAAACAAAAAACTACATCTATAGAGTTTTGTATTTTAGGATTGTTTGAGCGAAGTCATATGAACTACGAAGCAAACCGACCCAGTGACACTGCGGGAGAGCCGTCTCTTGCCGACATGACAGAAAAGGCCATTAGAATGTTGGAGAAACACAAAAATGGATATTTTTTGCTGGTTGAAGGTATTTGAAATTATTGTGGGTTCTATTAGTACAGCACGATATGCCGCCCCAATTCGATGACCGCACACGTAAATCAGGCCGAGCTACGAAGTGCCTTACGTTTTGTTACGTAATGGGTGCAAATGACGCTGTTCACACCGGTCATATTGTTTCGATCTCAAAATAAACTAAACTTTAAGAAAAAAAAATGTTTAGATTCAACACAACATATAACAACTATGTAAATTTCGGATAAGTAATCACTGTCTAAAAACAGAGACTAGACGTCACACAAATCCCAAAACCCCAGCTGTGTGCAGAATCTGTAAGTAATGTAATAAAAATAAAATTGGGACAAATTAAATTTCATGATACCATGCACATTCAATAAACAACGAAGATGTGTTCCGTTTAGGAAAACAACAAAACATATAGTATCAAATAAACGCCACTTTGTGTACAAGTCACTACCATGTACCTGACGCCATTTTGTATAAAAATTACTGCAATGCACATGGCGCCACTTTGTATGCAAATCACTGCCATCTACATAACGCCATTTTGTATGCAAATCACAGCAATGTACATGACGCCATTTTCTATGAAAATCACTGAAATGTACGTGACGCAATTTTGTGTACAAATCACTGCAATACACATGGCGCTTTTTTGTATACAAAATTCTTTAATTTTATTTAAACATCAAGCACTTACAATATTTGTTTTCCCCGAGTTTCCACAATAATCAATGTTATTATTTGTTATTTTATTATTATTACTACAATTTTGCAATTTACTCCTTTACATAAAATATGACATTGTCATTAATATTCACAGGCGGTCGCATGGACCATAGTCACCATGACGGGATAGGGTACCATGCATTGGTAGATGGCGTTGCCTTTGAAGAAGCTATCGAGAGAGCCAGTGACATCACTGATGACGATGACACGCTCACAGTCGTAACAGCTGACCATAGTTTTGCATTTGACATTCTTGGATACGCAAGTAGAGGCAACCCAATTTTGGGTAAGTACTGCACCTCACATACCATGCATACTTCTAGCAGTATATTTTACACGTGTATACAGTTGAATTACTTTCGTGCAACAGTTTGGGCTTGTGTACTTGATTGGAATAGAAACGATAAGATCTACACTGGTGTAATATATATCTAAAACTCAAGGAGGCTACTAGACATACAGTGAACACTTACCATGATGACTGATGAATTTCCGTTCAAATTGCAGGTGTGAATGATATCGACGTTGACCAAAATGGTCAAACTTTCACAACTCTTCATTATCCTGACGGTCCAGGTTCTCATTACACAATGGAAGCCATCGCAGACACAGGATTACGACCAGTCATTACCAATCCAGGTATTCATTTATGTCTCATTGGTGTTTCAGTGTGTGGAGATTTGTTTTCATATTCACCTGTGTCTCAGTACGTGGGAATGTGTGGTCATGTATATTTGTGCCGGGACGTGAAGCTGGATCATTAGACGTATGCGAATGTCGACTCGAGTCACGCA